AGGGCCAAAAAAAGAGCTGGAAAGGGGTTTGGACGAGTTTCACAGTGAAAGAACGTCGGTTAGAGAGTGTTCAGGCCAGTTGGCAAATTGCCAGGGACGGTAAATTGGCAACTTGCCAGAGACGCAATGTGTTGTCTGCAATAGCATGCAACACATTGCGTCCCTGGCAATTTGCCAATTTGCAATTCAGGGTGGGTCCTGGCGCGATTACATGACACTGTGTCGTCTCGACACTCGTCTAACGTGACACCGATCAAGGGGCGGAGGGCGACCGTGGATATCTGTCCGGCCCCTGATTGTGCCCTATTCAGCCGTTTTCCGACCTCATTCCTGCACAAATGGTATCAGAGGGGGCGTCGAATTCAAACTATGTGCAAATGTCCGAAACAATGTTTTTGTTAACAGTGCCTTTAACGCCAAGATAAGCCCCAGAAGAACAGCTGAAGAGCTTCACATCGGAACTCACGGAGTGGAATGGAATGAGCAGGGTGAAAGGCTGTCCGAGTTTATCATGACGACCCACACCATCCATGGTAACTCGCAGTTCCAGAAGCCATCTCATTTAAGATGGACATGGGAGTCACCTGGTGGACAGTTCCACAATGAGATAGACCACATTATCTAACCATTTAACCGAACGAAGATCAGGGATGCCGTTGAATACGCCAAGAAATCGAAGATCAGGTGGGCCGGACACGTTATGCGATATAGTGATGACCGTTGGACCAGGGCAGTTACTGGCTGGACCCCTCGGGACAACAAACGAACTTCAGGAAGGCTGCCAACGAGATGGTCAGACTTTTTCACGAAAGCTCCGAGCGAAAGGAGTGTTGAACCTCGTGTCCCTGAAGCGAGGACGATTCACTGGACCACTCTGGCTCGTGACAGGGACGAATGGAGACGTTACTGGCGCCCACTCGAGGAAGTCGATGATCAACCGGACGACAAGTGATACAGGTGAGGTGATAGTGATTTCAGTTCCACCTGGAATCAGTTCACTTGAAGCAAGTCTAACCTACCCTGGTATCTTGTTCAATGATGCTTAAAGACAAGGTTTACGATAAAAGAGTTTACTTTCTTCCTCTAGGAACACTGAGCGCCTCCCATGGGTGGATGGGTGGTAGAAGGGACCCTCTCGCTCCCACAATCTCGGCGCTTAGGGCATAGTGTAAGCCCTGTTGCTGCCGTAATTGGCTTTAACGCCCCTCGATCGATGCCACGTTAGACTTTCGAGACAATACAGATTGCAAATATTCGTTTTAGGACCCACACAAAATCAGCTGATCGCCGGGTGATGAAAGATGTTTTTCCATACTTTTTTCCACTGTTATTCTTTTTGCTGTTGCGATCCCTTACTTAATTTCCTTCTCCTAGGGCCAGAAAAAGGTGAGCTACTTTTGCTGTTACTAGGGGTTTTTTGTTTACTTATGCTTATAGGTGAATGAATTTTTGCTTAACGCAGTCTGTTATTCGCAACAGGAAACACACGCACGCAGTGAAACACATTGTATAGCTCGTCCGAACGCCCCGCTCTTCTTCATGGTCTCATTCTCGTCCAGCCCCCTTTCTAACGGTTCTTCGAAATCTTTTCACTTTGGAAACACATCGCACTATTTTCGATCTTGTTTTCCATTTCTCATCATAATCTGGATTACCCAAAATTATCGTGAAGGGTGCCTTTCAGCGTCATTGAACACCATACCGAGAAGTTCCAGACTGAAATTTGCACAGGATCCCAGCAGGTTTGGGCGAGGCTATGTAGGGCGTCCCAGGTGGCGCACAAGGCAGTAAATCGCCAACCGAAATTCGCCGGTGCTTGTCCAAAGACGCAGGTAGATTAAGAGGATGGACTCCCTGCTTCCGCTGGGTCAATATAGATTCTGTGTCTCGCAGAAGTATCCAAGTATACATGTGTGGAGAGTGTGCGGATGCGTTTGGTATCCCCTTCATCTACTCAGCCAGAGGCTTGCAATCGAGTGACTGGTAAGTGTCCGGGAGTCGTCCTTGGGCCGTCTCCAAAACAAGGCCCCTTCTCCACTCTCGCTGGAAAAGCTTGGTTAGCAACTCGAGTCAATCCAGATCCCAAGCCAGAGCCTGGCAAGCTACTCGTGGGTATCCATTCGCCAAAAATAAATAGAAATGGGCTTCATTACCCTGAACTGAGAGAGCCCCCAATACGGCAGCGTTGAGTAGGGCCGCTCGGGAGAGGATGCTCAAATTTCAGGGCCAAAACAGGCTGTCCAAAAAGAGGACTAAGATGACGATCTGTACTTTCAAGCACGAACGCTTGCATCGGAAGCGTGTATCGAGCATCATCATCGGTCATCGGACTGATCGAGACACGCAGGCATCCCCACTGCACGCCGTATTTAAGACTGGGGAAGAACTGTTCCACGAAACATGCCATAGCAGACGCATCGGCGACGTGGGTGTCGTCGTCAATACGCATTCGGCCATGAACATCGATTCGTACTAAAGTTTGACAACCCGAATGGGACGTTTGCATTGGGAAAATGAGGCATAAGCTCAGCTCTAAGAATCTTCGCTGCCTATACACCAACATCGAGCTACGAAGAAGAACCGGCAGCGTTTCATATAGACCTGGGGAAACACATTAAAGAGGAACACGCTGGGAGTCACTTGGGGGCCTGTTATTCCGAAGTTCTACTTGGGCGGACCATCGTCTCATCCGTGCTATAGTCTTTTTCACTTAGCGAAGAGAGAGTTGTAAAGTCCAGGAAACGAAACCCGACAACAGCATTGAAGAAACAACCGGAACATATTCACGATATTGCTAGGAAAACAAAGAGACTATAAGTAGCCAAAGGACGTCTATCATTTAAGACTCTTGAGCTGATTAGCTGATACGCCAGCGTAAAATCGCGCGAGCTACAGGCAATCATCAACAAACGTCCGAACTTCCGAAGCTATGCAGAGAGGCGATAAAGGAAGATCTGAAAGAGGCGAAGCCGCCGATACCGAAAAGAGCATTCCTAAAGCCCAACTGAGCTTCGCTAATTACAAGAACAAGATGACTTCCCTTTGTCGTCCTGACGGAACAGTTACCGCATATAGAAGGGCAATGTAAAAGCAGCCACGTCTACCTAAGTCTACACTCCATCTTAGGCAAGGCAAATATATCGCTCCCACAGTTTTGCCTTTCGAAATGCGATACACCACCACGTCAATGAAGATCTGTACGGCGTCCGGTCCCTATAGGATCAAACCAGAACATCTAATGGACTTCCACCAGTTATCGTCAGAGCTCTGGCCAGGCTCTTCACGCGGTACCTGTCCGAATGCAAAGTGCCCACGTGAAAAAATGCGTGAAGACCCGTAGGGAGCAACTCTAGAGCAAGTCGTGGGTGGATTCAGGGCATTGAGTACAGCGGTGGTAGCATGTCCCATCGCATCCCCACGTCTAGCTCATGAAAGGGCTTCTTGAAAGGGCACTTACTCCAAGAATTAGCGGATAACAATATGTGCACACAAACCGATAAATTATTGCTCCACAGTACTTGTTCGACAGTGCCAGTTAACTTGTACGACCGCTTCGAAAGTGCGTACATTATCGCTGGAGTGTGTGACCTTATCCCTCCCAAATTGGGCTCTGGTCAGATGAGTCATTTGACCACCATGGCTGCTTTCCTTGGCGCGCGAGCGCGCCGGCCGGGGGCGGTGCTTGCCCCTTATTTACAACTGGATCTTGGTCCATACCGTTGGCCCAGCACTCCCCCAGCTGGCGGACTATGAAAGCAGCCCTTCTAAATGCAAAGAGCTGCCGAAAATTTCGAAACATCATCCTGACTCTTCGGAGAGAGGAGTACCTACTCGGTCAATATTAGTTTGAAAAAAATATTGATTGCTATTCCCCTGGATCTTAAATTGTGAGGAAGCTCAGTAGATGCCCAACATGGACCACCAATAACGTTTTGCACGCGTTCAGGGAGCATTTCATAGAAAAGCAAAACGAGAGCATGCATCAAGGAACCGAACTTGATTTTATACCTGCCAGCCCACCTCCGGTAACGGATCTTTTCCACGAATTCCCACGGCTTGCGGAAGTGGATCCGCGGCGACTTTCCGCCTCCTCCCATTGGGAATTTTAATCTTTCTCCTCATAGCGCGCGATCGTGTGCGGCGAGCGCGACACGCCGTTCGGGGAGAAGATGCCAGACCCGCCCACTTCCCTACCAGTTGGGCCACTGCTACACACCTACACATTTGGTCGGCTCGGTAATGTGATCGGTAATGTACAGTGGTACAACACAGGGAAGCATTTGTCCCGTAACTTTGTTCCCAAAATCGCCTAGCAGATTTGGAACAGATTTGAAACAAGCGCACGAAACCACCTAAGGCGGTTTACATCTCATCTTGAATGGCCAGTGCGACCAAGTATCCTTCCCTTGTAAGCCGCTGCGAAGGGCGACGCCAAACGACCGCCTCTTGTCCAGAGATGCACGCGGCAAATTGCGTGGCTAAATTCGTGACGATTTGAACGACTCTAGCGTTTATCATCAAGTCATAAGCTTGTGCAAAGAATAGCGACAAAGTCTAGAGTTGAAGCTGTATATTAGCACATCTATTTGATCGATATAAAAAACTATGTACTTATTCGCCGCACAATTTGCCGCGTGCACCTCCGAACGCTCCAATATTCTACCCCACCCCCTCCGCCCCCCTCCCCTTCCCACTCGAAATATCGTTCACTCGATCGCTTCAATCCTATCAAAGTATTCGTCCCATCACTGAGCAGCGTGGTAGACAACAATAATATCGGAACGTTCTAGTCGAACGACAAAACAAGTTGTAGAATGAGTAGAACTTTACAACATCTTTTAACACGTCCTATATTAATTGGTTCACCTGCTATGGAGAACTAGAATCGCTAACATTGTCAGTTCTGAGCTCTCGTGACAGTTAATAAATACATCGTCAACGTTAAAAAAAAACTTGGGCGAAAAGCCTTCGCTTACAAAAGTGGGTCGACGTTATCAAATCTAAAAGTAAATACCTTTGTTTGCCACCTCCCAGCTACACTCGAACACAAATCGACCCTCGTGACGAGCCGTCTCACCTTGATCCATTATGTCATCAGATCGGAGACCGAGTCCCTTGATACCACCGAAATATTTGCTACCTTTTGCACGAAAAAAAAATGTAAACTCACTGCTAACTGCCTGGCAATTTTCGTGGTGGAAAGTTTGCGGCCGATTCGCGCTGGCGAAGTTGAACCCGACATCCTCAACCAAAAGCTGAAAAGCGTGCATTGAGTAGCCTCACCTTCTAATAGCAACGACTCGATTGCGACAACTGCGTTAAAATTGAAAAAAAGGCATTTGTAAAATAAGGAGGGAGCTAGTACTGATCGTCGGCACACAACAGCGCAGCCTACGTGCTCCTAGTGAAGAGGTATGGGGTCGGAGACGGCTCTCGAGCAGTTGTTAAACGTCCTCGTGAAAGGGTAGATAACACGTGCTTAGTGACGAGTACATCGCTCAGATTTGCTCCCATAAACTTCGATAGACGACAGATCTCAGCGACAAGATAGATGGTCTGGTGTAACAGAACAATAGGGAACCATGTTCATGTACATAAGCATGAATTGCCAAAAACCACAATACCTAACACAGATGCACCATTCAACCTCGTAGATCGCAACAACACCTCTGTTTGACCGATAAACCTCGCGCCCGAATAAAAGTTAATTCCAAGTACGTATAGTTGGTCTTATGAAGAATTCGTGTCGCCGGTAATTATGTTTTCGCGCAACGTCCTTGCACATGGTTCCTGTGAGCGTGGCTGCTCGAACGAAATCAACTTACTCAATGTGTGTATTTGCTGTTCCTAAGACTTGTCTTGCCGGAGAATCTCATCAATGAGACTCAGTGTGGGGCACTACGTGTTTCTTGGATTATTTGTCGTTGTGCAGTGTGTAATCATAGCTTTCTTACTCACACTCACCGGTGTTGATTACTATCGTCTGAAACGTATTCATAATCTTATCAATGCGGGATTCCTGATGGTGTTGGGGTCGGTATTCATATGGAAAAGAGTCACAGCAGCATTGAAGCAAGTTGTAATTTATTCTTTTGCTCAGTCGTTTCTATGGTCTAGAATCCAAGCATAAACTAATTAATGTATTCTTGATGAGATTCGTTTGAAGCAACGACAGAAAATTTAATATGCTGAAGAAAGATTACTGATATGAGTGTGTAAACGCAGAAAATCGTTAGTATTTAAAATAGCTGTTGTCATGCCCTTCTGGATTTTCTTCAGGAAATCGATCATGCCGTTTACTCAAGATCGCTGTGCACGGCGATCTGTAGACCGTCGTACATTTTTATTGACCGCATTTTGAGGGTGTAATGGTTATTAAACGGCATGTGCATTATCGAATTGATTTGATCTGAATTTTTGCTATCTATTTCTACACCGCTCGCAGCCTGCAATTGCGCATTAATTGCAACTTCAGTAACACTACGCTTACCGTCAACTTTTCGCTGCTTTTTAGATATTGACTGTCTAGTTCGTTTTTCATGGTAGGCTTTTATCTTCCAATTTACACTTTAATTATTTCTTAAGTGCACGTCCACAAATGAGGGAGTGCACATTTAGTTTCAATTAAGACCACCATTTCCTCCTCCACCTGTCTGATACACTCAGTCGAACTGATATAGATTCTATGAATCAAAAATTTCGTTTCTTTTCGAAATTCTAGGAAGGAGCAAGAAGATAAAATGGGGAAAATTTCGTGTGAACATAAAATGTGCAACGCTATGAGTAAACTTTTCCTGCAAACTAGTGCTTCAACTTGCAGGCTACTCTACAAGCAAACTAGTCAAAAGAGAATGCCCTTTTTTGTATTTTTTCGAGTATTGCAAATATGGAGAGGCTGCATAGTTTCAGGCGCGTACGTTAATGTAACATATTTCTTTGTTTGCACGTTTGATATTGTCACCACCAATGCCAGATCGTCAGTTCATCGAATCTCATTCGGAGCACTACTCAAAATAACGTCAGATTTACTCAAAACAGGTAGACATGATAATCATTGTGAGGCCCTCATCGAGCGTTCATGGAGATCCTTCGTTGGTGCTGTTTTGGTTCTTCAGTTTCCCTCTCTGAAAGATCAGTCTACTACGACTGGTCTCCACGTTTTTTCCTATTCCTTCACAACACTTCAGAATGCAATGAAATTCAAATTTCCAATTCATAAGATCGATTACAAATTAACTGAGAAGGCATTTGTTGGAGGTGCGAAGTGATCCATATCGGATAAACGTGCATTGGCTCATTGGGTCTGGGAACTTCTCCCTTGTCACGGCGTCGCAAACGCCGCACCCGCCGCGTATCGCAGGATTGCGATGGAAGTTTGGAGCGCGCAATTTGTGAAGTAGGGAGTCCTTTAATTATTTGAATTGACTGACCGCTTCCTTCAATTTCAATGCCGCCGCTTACATAAGAGGTGTCATTTTAATTAATCAAGTCTAATAAACATGAAAACGAAAAAGAAACGGAAGAAAAAACGATCAAACTCAATAAAAAAGCAAGACAATCAACGAAAAATTTCGCGTCCTATCGATTGGCGGGGAGGCAGGGTGAGTACGGTAATTGCAGTGACATTTGCCGCATGCCGCAAGGGAGAATGCCGCGATAGGGGAGAAGTTCCGTTACCCTTGGCTCATTTCATAGATGCGCCGTTGAGAAATGATCTTAACAAGAGTTTAAAAAATAAAGAGGGAAAACGCATTATGAGAAGTGGACAGCCAACGCTGAAATAGTTGTGAAAAGCTGCTGAGGAGCGAATTTATTCATTCGTAATCCCATGCGATCACCCTCGTCAGTCTACGAAATTGGATAGAAGTAAGCGCATATTATAGATGCACAGTTATGAAGTGATCAAAAAGAATAATTAAAAAAAAAAAAGAAATAAAGAAGAAAAGCCTAACATGAAAAACGAAGGTG